TCCCTGCAGAAAAGAACGGTTAAATCCCAGAGGAGAATTTTTTCACAGCAACAGGAGTGCATTTCATATCGAACAATGCAGCTAGTAGAGTTTCAGTGAGTCCATGCCAAATACTATCTTGCCCTGACATCAAAACTGCTAATACCAAAGGTAGCCCGGCTGTAGCTTCTGAGGGCAAACATACTGTGGTAGCTAAAAGGAAAACAGTGCTGGGATGCATTCGGTAACCTTGGCAATCCAGTTCACATTGCGCTGATCATCACCATAGTCTTCTATGATTATCTTCTGAGGAGCAGATGCTGTATTATGCCTAGAATCCAGAAGGCTGTGGGCTGCCCGACTTTAAGTGGAACTATGTTTTTAGAGTGTCATCTCTTCTTTAACAGAAACCAAATCCTGACTGTAAGCATTGCAGCAGTGATAGAATGTTATCCTGTCAGTCAGGAGCCACGGAAAAACCAAAAAGTCACTGTAAGCATGGCAGTTCATAGTTCTGCTCCAGGGAAATATTTTCACAATGCAAGTGTAACTATCTGCTCTTTCAGGGAAGGGTTTCCTCAGCGAAACTGTTGCAGCACTGTTGTACTACAGAGAAGTGTTACAGCTCTGGACTATGAGGGGAAGTTTTCCCCAACAAAAGTGTTACTTCTCTGCTTAACACTAGCAAGGAGTTACAGCCATACTTAGGTATCCCAGAGTGTAAAAATTCTGCTCTACTATGGGAAAGTTTCCCTAGAGAAAGTGTTCTGCTCCAGCTGTGGTGAAAGTTCATAATTTGGGCCCCTAATGGAGTGTCACATTGGAGAACTTACCTCACTGGAGAGATTTATTGGGAAGGAAAAATCTAGAATGGTGACTGCTTCTAGGGTGAGAAGCAGCAGCAATCCAAGCAGGGTACAGCGCTTTTATTGGTTTTCTTGGGGCTGGATCTTTCTAGGCTGGCTTGTGATTGGTGGGTTTTTGAATCCTGATTCTGGGGAAAGCTCAGGAATGGGGGGTTTTGTGTTCAGCAATTGCTGGTATTCTGCAGCCTGACTCTTGACTGATTGGTGGGATTTTCAGTCCTGGGGTCAAGACAGGGGCAGAATGTTTTTTTACCTCAACCTTTTTCAAAATACATTACCAATCTTGTGAGGTATGAGGTAACAACACAAGTAAAACTGGTGTAGGAGAACCTGTATCTTTGAGAACTGTTTCCATTTTTCCCTTCTCTTTCCTCCTTTCTTCCTCCCTCCTCCTCCTTTTCCTCCTCAGTTACCTGATCCTACCCCTCCTCTGCCTCCTTCCCTCAAATGGCTTTCTAAACAGATCAACTTACTTTAACACTGTTCTTCACATGATTCTCTTCAGGATGCTATTCAATACCCGCATCTCAGGTAACCACAGATTTACCAGTCTTGGTTTTACACACAGCAGCCACCTTACAACCCACAGCCTCAAGGTCTTCCATAATGCTCCCATCTCCCAGGATGGAATCTCATGATGTCATAATGGCAACACTCTGAATCCACAACCTGCCATATTCATGGCACACAGACACCTTGGAAACCTCCAAGACTGTATAAGTCTTTACTAATGACCAAACCCCAGGAGGAATCACAGATATGGTGTAGCACTGTGAGGCTGAAATAAGACAGCATGTTCTCAGCACTCCCAAAAGTAGCTGGAATCCTGAATACCAAGGTAATTAAAACTCAAGCAGACACAAACAACATAAAATATCTTGGGGTAACTCTAACCAAACAGGTGAAACCCTGTATGACAAGAACTTTGAGTCATCAAAGAAAGAAGTTAAAGAAGATAGTAGAAAACGGAAAGATCTCCCATGCTCTTGGATAGGCAGGATCAACATCGTAAAAATGGCAATCTTGCCAAAAGCAATGCACAGATTCAATGCAGTTCCCATCAAAATCCCAACACAATTCTTCACAGAGCTTGAGAGGACAATTCTCAACTTCATATGGAAAAACAAAAGACCCAGGATAGCCAACACAACCCTGCAGGTGTGATTAGCTGTATCAGCCCCAAGCAGGCTGTGGTCAGCAGTACCTCTAAACAGGATTGCTCCCTACAGGAGACCACTTCCTGAACATCACACTAGTAACATAGACATTGATATTGACAATTAATAAATGGGACCTCCTGAAACTGAGAAGCTTTTGTAAGGTAAAGGACACAGTCAACAAGACAAAACAGCAGCCCACAGACTGGGAAAAGATATTCACCAACCCCATATCTGACAGAGAGCTGATCTCCAAAATTTACATAGAACTCAAGAAGCTATCCACCAGAAGACCAAAGAATCCAATTAAAAAGTGGGGTACAAAACTAAATAGAGAATTCTCAATAGAGGAATCTAAAGTGGCTGAAAGACACTTAAGAAAGTGCTCAACATCCTTAGCCATCAGGGAAGTGCAACTCAAAACAACTCTGAGATACCATCTTGCTCCTATGAGAATGGCTAAAATAAAAAACACCAGTCACAGTCTACACTGGAGAGGAGAAAGAGGAACACTCCTCCATTTCTTGTGGGAATGCAAACTTGTATGACCACTTTTGAAAATCAGTATTGTGGTTTCTCAGGAAAATGGGAATCAATCTACCTCAAGATCCAGCAATTCCATTCTTGGGGGATATACCCAAAGAATGCACATTCATACAACAAGGACATATGTTTAACTACGCTCATAGCAGTGTTGTTTGTAATAAGCAGAACCTGGAAGCAACCTAGATGCCCCTCAACCAAAGAATGAATGGGGTGATTGATATGTAAAATAAGATTGTTTCTAAAATAAAAAAAAATATTAAATGTTTTTTCAATGAAAGGAGCAAAAGAAAGAATATTTACTGGCATTTAACAATACAAGCAAGTGTGATATCTCTGTATGAGCCCATTGGGTAATGTACTTCATTTGCTGCTGGCTATAGTTGAGCCAAACCTAATTCTCTGAATAAACTGTGATACCTTTTTATTTTATGCTAAAATCACTTTATTCTAATGAACTCCCCAATAAAATCCTTAAAGCGATACAATGAAATCGCGACTCAAAAGCACACTTACTCGGGCCTAAATTCAGTTTATTTCAATTTAGATCTATATAGTTCAGAGAGCTATGGTGAAGCCAAGCAGCTTTGCTCATGGTTTTACATTGTCATTTCCAATTACATTTTTACACCCTTATCCACCACACTGCAGTATGAAAAAATGGCAGAGCTGAAAATAGAAAAAAAACCATTAACTTTCATAACTCATGAGTTCCTTTGCCTGCCATTGCCTAAAATTACCTTCCTTTGTCTCATTTTTAAACCTTAAGCTAAAGTTATACTCACTTATTTACATATGCAGATTCACAGATGACAGGATAGCATCTGCACATGGAAGAGAACATGTGATTTTTTTTCTGTGTTTGTAAGACCTGGCTTAAATATTACTCATTATAAGTCCATCAATTTTCCTACTCTTTCATCTATCACTATAGTTTAATAATATTCCATTTTATATATAAACACAATTTGATTATGGATTTATCTATTTATGGATATAAATGTGGGCTCCATTTCCATGCTACAGTAACTAGAGCAGCCATAAACATGGATGGGCACAAATCTCTATGGAAATAAATGGAGGTTTATTTCCAGGTATATACCAAAGAGTGTCAAATCTGAGTCATATAGCATTTCTATTTAAGTTTCTTTTTGAGGAACCTCAAAACCGATTTCCATAATGTATGTATCAAATATCTTTCAAACTTTTCTGACAAAGTCCGAGTTACGCTGTTGCCAAACCAGATAACAACCCAACAACCAAAAAGGAAATTTACATACTAATCTCCCTGATGAACATAGATGCAAAATTTCTCAATAAATATTGGCAAACAAAAATCAAGGTAACTTTGAAACCATCATTCATTTCCAATCAATTTCTGTCTGAGGTTAAAGATATTGATAATAGTTTTCACTGAGTGGCATGGGAAGATGGTCTATTCTGAGATGTTGTCTAACACTGTTAGTACAAGCTTCAGAGCAAACCAATGTGATTGTCTCTATAGCAGCTGAAAGTAGGGTATGTAGGAAGTTATGGTTGAAGAAGTTTTCTGGTACTATTGAAGACATGAACAGTTGTAAATAGACAGGGGACTCCTGAAACACAACTTCATGGCCATCCATGCATTAGTTTTCTTTGTAGTTAGACTTCATGGCCCATAAGATTTCTGCGAAACAACCAAGAACTCAGATGCCCTGGCAGAATGAAAGCCAGAAGCAGGGTGGTTTGATTGAGAACCTTGTTTCGCTAACTCTTCTGTACATCAGCTGGACAAAGGGAAGCCTTGACGCTGAAAGTTGAAGAGTGAAATCTTCCTCATACAGGGGGATAAGCTAATGTGGCTGATGGGGGAGGTCCTTCTGTGTATATGTTTGTCTTATTAGTTGATAAATAAAGCACTGTTGGCCAATAGGAAGCAAGTTAGGTGGGACTAGGAGAGAAGGAGGATTCTGGGAAATGTAGGAAAGAGATGGAGTCGCCATGCGATCCCAGGAAGATAGGACTCTAAGTCCGGCATCCTCGGTAAGATAAGTCTTTATAAAATAAATAGATTAGTAGTTATGGTTGATAATTAAGACAGAACTAGCAAATGAGAAATCCTAGTCATTGGCCAGGAGCATTGTAAATAAGATAAGACTCTGTGTGTTATTTGGAGGCCCGTAGCATGGTGTTGGGGCTTGGGCCGCTGGTGGAGTTATTTTTACAAATGCTTCCAGTCTCTTTGGGGGCGTTGTCAGTGGTACCTGTGGCCAGCCCCAAGCATTCGTGGTCAGCGGTACCTCTAAACAGGATTTCTCCCTACAGTGGGCAGCTAATTCAACCAGCTGACAAAACTCTGGGACACATCATTTGCATTAATAGTTAAAAGATAAGGCACTGCCTCCTGAACTTTCTGTTCTGACTTTGTGAGGGAGATGGCTGATATCACAACTGGATATCACAAAAACTATACCATTTATTTAAGAATAAGTGAGTTCATATTCCTCATCCAGACCAAACTGAGTCTCGGAACCATGGAGTAATGATTCATAAGAACAAAGGGTCCAAAACAAGGAAAACATAGAGAACTTAGGTGAGTGATGTTCACCAGCCACCAACTGGGATTATACAAAGGAGCCAAACAGCCTTGTAATATAGCAGAGACAGTATAAAAAGCCAGAAAGGTAGACACCAGTGCCAGGATGTTCTGGGTGGCTGTGGACTCAGGGGAGATTCTGCTGGAACCAGAAGGTCTACGGATGTGCTGAACCCTCTGCTTGTGTCTGTACAGAATGACAATCATGGAGCCACTAGACCAGGCCATGAGCAAAGAAAAGCAGATTTCAGGGCACACCACCAATGCTACATAGAGTGAGTCCGCCCTGCAGTAGAGCAGTGTCCAAAATCTTGTTTTCCTGTCACATTGGTACTGTAACTTTTGATAATTGGGTACACAAAGAAAATTAAGTTTATCAACGTATGCAAGACCCAGAGGAGGGTAATGGAGCAGCCAATGTACTTAGCTGCTTTCACTTTTTGATCCTTACAACAGGATTCCTTCTGACTGATGGTGACGGCCTGGAAGACACTCAAGAGGCAGGTGGTGCCAATAGACACACTGCGGCCAACTCTTTCAATGTACAAAATCAATCTGCATCCAAAGTCATTTAAAAACTGCTTCAAACCAAAAGTTGCCAATGTCTGGGGCACTCCTTTAGAGAGAATGATCAGAGTGTTGGCTGCCATCAGGTGCACATGAATCAAATCTACAGTCTTTAATTTGCTGTCTCCATAGCAGACCAGATAGTAGTAGAACAGAGAGAAATTTCCCAGAATTCCAGTTGTAGTTAGTGACAAGACAATTATTTTGATGGTCAGATTCCAGAAATACATTCTGTTATTGAGTATGATTTTCTTTAGATAATGGAGAAAGACATTCCTCTGGTCAAAATCCATGAAAGATATTAATAATTCAAAACCTACAGAAAGGCCAAATCACAATGTTTCTTAGAGCTCAGAATTACCATCTCAGACTAGACTATATAACAAGAATTCCTCAAAGTCCATGACATAATCAATTATTACTTACAATGCATCTGTCTGTAACATGGCTAAAGGCCTCAGCACACAAATGTGGATGGGTGGTATGCTTTCATAAACATAGAATGTGTAGTATTGTGGGCAATTATACTTGGTATGTGAGACACTAACAGCAAGCATAGTCCAAGACTGTGAAAATATACTTCTATTTTCTAGTCATGGTGTAAAATACTTGTACAGAACGAAAAAACACCAATTCTTAATGTGTATCCCATCTACAATAAAAGCTGATTAAAGAAGAATGTATGATATCATTATCATTCAAGATATTTCTACAGCTATATATAAGAAATTTTATTAAGAGCATTAAATGTATTCAGATGATACTGCAATTAACAACTTGTATCTTATGCTAATAGTTAAGCTCTTATGCAGTCACACCACATAAACACACACACACATAGACAAGTGCAGTGTGAGCACACTGGGGGTATTCAGTGGGATGATATCCCACAGAATCCTCAACAGAACAATAACAGGAAAAATAAGTCAGCAGAAATGGTAAGGAAAATGTCACTGTCTGAACAATGATAGCCAATGCAGGAATGTTCAGTCTCTCTGTTGAAACTAAGTTTGGAATAGTCAGGCACCACTTAGAACTCTAGAGTATAAATGGTAGAAGAAAAGGCAGTGGATTAGGTGGCCCATCAGTGCAGTGGGAGAAGATTCTCAGGACACAATATTTTATTCCTTCAGGAGAATGTGTCTGAAGCCCTCTTAAGTAGGGTGAGATCCCATTGAAGAAGTAGGCAGAAGCAGTTGTGAATTAGTACCAGGCTGAACCAAGAAGCCTTGGAAGGGTGGAGCCATTGCTCCACTCACTATTCCACCAAGTAGAGACAGTCACGTGGCATAATTATCTTGGAATATGAAGAATTTAAAACAAACCGGGGACCTTAGGAACTACCAGATAATAGCAGTTTCTCCTTACTCATGCGCTAGAGAATGGCTCCAGCAGAAAATTGAAAGCAGTCTATTACGTGAAACAATAAAAGCTGAGAAGGATCAATAGTTTCCCTTGTGTGTCAATGTTGTTTCTTGATTTACAATTTTTAAAATGTGAGAAATATGTGGGAGTCAGTGTGGGTCAAGACCGCAAAAACGAGAATGGGAATAAGATCCATCAGAGGATCAAAAACGGGCTCTATGAAAAATTTCCTAGCAAATGTTCATTGCAATGAGTCACTGGTCTGGTTAAAGGCTGCTGGCTTTTGGTAAACCCTCATCATTGGAACTCCCCTAGGATATTCTGTGTAGGCCCACAATGCTTGGAGATCCGGTGAGTGTTGTTCCATAGGACTAGTCTCTTCACGAGTTCAAGCATGGTGTCCTAGATGGGGTAGATTTTGGGGTGCTCCAACCCAAGGAGTGGCTCTGGGCCTGGGTTGTACCTGGTTATTCTGGGAGATTGGAACCCCCCACCTCAGGTGGAGTGGAATCAACATCATCCTTAGGTCCCTGCCTCCAAGGTTGGTTTACTCTGGTGAGTGTTGAGGGGTTGGGCCGTCTTTCAGAAATGCAGGCATCAGTTGTGACTCAGTTATGGGTAGACACTTTTCAACAGGGGGCAAATGAAAACCCAACATCCCTGGAAGCTCCCCCCCTTTAAAATTTGAATTAGAAACAAGCTTCTTTTACAAGTCAATCCCAGTTCCCTCTCCCTCCCCTCTTCCCCTGCCACACCTTGCACTCCCTATAAGCCCCTATCCCAACCCCTTTCTGCTCCCCAGGGAGGAGAAAGCTCCCTGGAAGGTTTTTAAAAGTTCTACCTACCTAGGATGGTTAACTGGCTGAGATGTCAGGAACATTTCTAGGGAATTCATGCCAGTTCACCTACCCCGTCACATCTGTGAGGAAGGAAAAAATTCTAATTACTGACAAATGCTTCATTTTTGGAGCTGCTGTGGTGTTTGAGACTCCTTGAAAGGCAATGACAAGGAGGTATCTATTCCACTCGCTTGACAATGAGTACTTGGGTATCCACCTGTGTCTGCTGTAGTGAAGGGAGAAGCAATGTTAATGAAAAAGAAACGTCAACTGCAGCGTGAGACCTTGTCTATGCTTAGGTGTGTGAGGGCATTGAGCAAAATCTGTTAGTGGACATTTGTCTTTACAATTCTAGGATTCTGCACAGGAATTCAAGGGTGCGATCACACTGGATACACCCATCGATATCCTGTATCCTCACATGAAAATATTCACTTTTCAAAATTCTGTAAAGAGTTAAGTGAATAATGGGAAACATAATTTCCGTGAGTTAAACATAGGTTGTATATGTGGAAGACAACAATGACGATCTGTGAGTCACTGCTGTCACTGCATTGCTCTCACTCAGTTTGTCACCTTCTTCAGTAGTTAAAACTGCATGGTCTAGACAATACCATCATTCCCACTGTCAAGGACTGAACTAAGAATCCCGAGGGCGTGGGGCTCCTTAAATACAAAAATTGCCTAGACTCACAGTGAACCCTGCAAGGACTTGAACATGGAAAATGTTACAGAAACACCGTCACCTCCTTGACTGTCACCTCAGTCTGTACTTAAAAAACCATGATGGATCATCTCCAAGAAAACGACATCCTTCTTTACAGTTTGTGTTCCTCACTTGATTTTTGTTCCCGTTTTTTGGTATCCTATTGTATGCTTTGTGCTGTAACAATTTTCATTTGGGGGAATAGAGAGTAGGCTCAGTGGTGAGGAAAAACGTGCTGCTGCTGCTGCTGCTGCTCCAGTGGATCCCAGATTGGCTCCAGAACCCACAGGGTGCCTTACATCTGCCTGTAATTCCAACTCCAGGGGCTTTTGTCATCCTCTACTGGTCTCTAGAGGCATTACATTCTCTCAGTGCTCATATTTACATGCAGGGAAAACATACCCCTAACCTAACACAAAATAAAGAAAAATATGTAACAAATATGTTTCACTTTTACAGAAAGGATTGTCTCCTAGGTCAAATGTCAAATCACAGTGATTCTGAGGGCATTGCTCTCATCATGGTTTGACCTGACAAAAAACTGTTCCATCTCCCAGTTTGGTTTCAGAAGTACAGGATGGACTTGATATTTATGATGCCACCCAAAATATGAATTTTTGTCATTCAGTGATGGAGGTTACAGTAGGTATGCGGAGGAATTACTAACACTATTGCTCTGTACGGCATATACAATGAAACACTAATATGTGATTAATAACTGATACAGTGAGATGCACTTTAAGTTCCTAAAACATTTCTTTTTAAAATTCAGCACTTATCCACTCTTCTTTATTATTATTTTACAAACTAGTCATGTCTCTGTTGATAGTGGACATGCTAGGATCTGGATCACTTTCAACTGAAGTCAGGGTATTATGCATAGTAAATAGAAAGTATTGGAGTGAGATTTGATTACCACAGATGCCAATGCTTCTTCCATCTTTAAATGTGATGTGACTTTTTTCTTTGTACAGAAGAGTACTGTATTTTTGAATAGCCTACTCCCAAGTAAGAGCAAATCTGTATGATAACATTTTTTCCTCTGGACATAAGACATTATAACAATAACACGATGTACATTTACAAGCGGCCTTATGTACATTTCCTGACAATCTTTTTAAGGCAAAATTGTGACCATATGTGTAGAATTAAAATAATTTTTAATCCTTTGCCTATGAAAATATTTTGAAAAAATTGCTTTGTATATTCAGTTTCTGAAAGATAAAGAAAGTGCTTTGTAAAAAAAACTGGTCATGACTATGATGTAGCTCTGACTTTCTGAAAACTCACTATGTAGATCATGTTGACCTCAGATTTACAGAGATCTGCCTTCTGTGCCAGACAAGTGCTGTGGTCAAAGGGTTTTTACCACACATCTGACTTATTTGCACATTATTATATTCATCAGTCTATTATAATGAGATGTATAATGCATTTACACAGAGAAGAGACATGTAAGACAGTTAGAGTGCAATGAGAAGAATGTAAAACCTTTAATCTTGTCCAGTGTGAGCATTAAATATTGCCCAGTGTTAGTATTGTCCATGCTAAGTGTTTATGCATATTTAGCTGAGGGGTAGCAAACCATGCACAAGGCTCTGTCTTCCAATATCAATGACAATAAGCAGTGAGGGAAGGCACCTATCAGGTTCTGATTAATATTAGAGTATGATGAGGCCAGGGGAAATAACTCTACACATCCTGGCTGTCATTGCCTGACACTCATACTGTAACTTTCCTTCCATTGTCCCCTCCCAAGTCCAAGAGGGAGAGGCTTCAAACCAGTCATTGTACCAAATGCCATTCACTAGAGATTCAGTTACTGCTTCTATAAACAAAACATAAATGTACTGTCACATATGAATACTTTTTACCACACAATCATCCTGCTCTTCTCTGGGATGTGTGAGACTTATATTTTCATCCCACTGTTTTCTATGACATGAAACCATAGTACAATAAACTCAAATAATTATTATTGAAGTTATAGTCTACACAGCATGTAAGCTGTGGTGAATTATCACATTGACTTATTATCGAAATCCTTCAACACATTCAGATTTGGGCTAAATTATCCTTCTCTGATTCACATTCACAATCAGTGGGAACATATATTATACTAAAAAAAAACAAAGTGGATACAAGGTTAGGAAAACTTGGATCTGTCTATCTCATCTCTTAGCTTGCAATTTATTCTTGTGCTTTTTGTCTAGTCCATGGATCTGTTTCTACACAAGATCCCATACAAGACACAAACAGTTGCTCAGGCCTCTCTCTTTTTCTAATTTTACCACTCAGACTGGAATACACTGTACTCACCTGGCTTCTT